TTGTTCTATATTCTACATTGATTGGAGGTTATATCCATTTCTCGCCACGATAAACTCGTGTTACAACGGTGGTGCCACTTTGGCCATTGACATTATACACATTCATCCTTTTGCAACCGTCAAATATGACATTATACACATTCATTTATTGAAAAGGGAAGATGCATCTATTTCCATCCTTTTGCAATCGTCAAATATGGCATTATACAGTCATTCATTTAGTGAAAGATGCATATGTTTCCATCCTTGCAATCGTCAAATATGACATTATACAAATTCATTTAGTCAAAAGGGAAGATGTATCTGTTTCCATCCTTTGCAATTGTCAACTATGATATTATGCACATTCATTTTAGTGAAAGGGAAAGATGCATCTATTTCCATCCCTCGCAATCGTCAAATATGACATTATACAAATTCATTTAGTCAAAAGGGAAGATGTATCTGTTTCCATCCTTTGTAAATTGTCAAATATAACATTATGCACATTCATTTTAGTCAAAGGAAGATGCATCTATTTCCATCCTCGCAATCGTCAAATATGACATTATACACATTTATTTAGTGAAAAGGTAAGATGCATGTATTCCCATCCCTTTAAATGGTCAAATATGATATTATGCACATTCAGTTTCGTGAAAAGGGAAGATGGATCTATTTCCATCCTTGGCAATTGTCAAATGTGACTTTATACTCATTCGTTTAGTGAAAGGGAAGATGCATATGTGTCCATCTTTGCAATCGTCAAATATGACATTATACACATTCATTTAGTGAAAGGAAGAAGCATATTTCCATCCCTTGTAATCATCAAACATGACATTTAAGCGCAAATAGTCCCTTTGCGGAGATTTGCGCCATATAAATGCTATCCATTATTATTATTATACACAATCATTTTAGTGAAAGGGGAAGATGCATCTAGTTCCATCCCTTGCAATCATCAAATATGCCATTCTACTCATTCATTTCAGTGGAAGGGAAAATGCTTCTGTTTCCATCCTTTGCAACCGCCAACTGCCAAGCACATGTTGCATGAATGTTTTGATTGTGCGCTTATCTAACAAGGTTTAAGAAATCTTATATGAAATTTTTAAAACAATTCATGACCACTTGATTGTTGCATGCTTAAGTGAAATCAAACTGTTAGACAAAGTTTTAAACCTTTGAATTGATATTTGACTCAGATTTTAGTGATTTTCAACATCAGGTGTATTCTGCTTCATATGGAGTAAAACAAACGACATTTCTTACCACGTATAGCTGCAAACGTGCTGATGCTGCGTGCTACACTCACTCATTCACTGACTGTTCCAGCTTTGTTGTGCAATGCTATTATTATTCCAATAACAAATCATATCCGAAATCACAACGAGCCATCACATTACAATCTATACTGTTCACTAGCTGTATATGTAAAGCCATGAAAAGGGTGGTCAGCAATCCATTTCTCTGGCACCTGGAGACACCGCCTCCTCAGCAATATCCAATGTGGTTTGTGACGAAACAATGCTGAAGTACCATAGACCATTTGGTGCGTCGAGTATCATTAGGTCATGTAGGCATAGCAGGTAACACTTGACAAACTGCTTATTAGTGTTGGGAATTGGTTAAAATCTCATAATTGATGATTGGTTCATTACAACCGATCAATCATCGAAAATAATTGGTTTGCATCATTTATGAAATTTGTTAATGCACATAAAAATAAGGTAAAAACAAGTAGTTCTTTTTGGATTTTTTGGCAAAATTTCACATCTTTAAAGGATGACTAGTATGTTAAGAACATAAATTTCTTGGAATCTTTAAGATAAATTCAATCGTGACTTGAAACGAGCTTGTAGTGCTTACGAAATGTAACAGACAAAACCAACTCTTTGTGAAAAAATATTGTTAATGAAAACAAGTGTTCCAGAATTGTTTGTGTTCGATTATGAGAAATTGTGATCGATTGCTTGGTCGTTTAGTCACTACGACCAATCTTCGATTATTTCAATTAATCGGACCACCATTACTGCTTATATCATATTGTAATTTCAAATCCGCTTTCAAAAAGTTTTGTGTCCAGGTAGGAAGAAATAACTTCACGAATTGAAACCAACAATCGGTTATACCAACCTGGGTTGTAAGTCAAGACGTGATGAGATACTTTTACGATGATGTCGCATTAGCCAGTCGGTTTACTGCTTAAAGTAGATGGAGATGAACTTGCGATGAAGTGTTCACCATTAAGCATATTCTCATTGAACTTTATACTAAAAATGGACTTGTTGAAAAAGCATCAATACATGTGTATTGTCCTCCACTTTCCATGGATAAAGCGACTTGCACATGCAAATCATTGACATTAAGTGGTAGGTGGATTTCCATATTGACAATTTAAATAAAAATGTGCCTTTTGTAACATAATGTATCGGACGTTAAAGAATGCAATAATGACATTTCAACGGCCTGATGTGTTTTTCCATACTGTTAAGAAAGTTTGTAAAACATTCAGTCGTATATAAATTCAAACAACAACGAAGATTTTACAACTTTTAAGAAATAGTGTTACCAACAGCTTGACCCTTCATTTTTGACGTCGAGTATATATTCAGAACACTGGAAAAATCAATCCCTTTGATTGCAAGTCATGGCCCTTCAGTTCCTAGGCTCAAGTAAGTATGTTTATTATGATTCTGTTACGTTCTGTGTTTCATTTCCAAGATAAGTCTTCACAACCTTCACAATCTTTTTAAATCACATCACCTAGGAAAAGATTATTATGTCAACGTCAGATACAATCTTTCCTCCCGCCTTGTGGAAGTGTTGTTTGAGAACTGAAATCTTACACTTACTCACTAATGAATTTGGAAATCCGTGTCATAATCAATTCCCAGAAAACGGGGGCATTTTGGTGTGTACATGTACATATCTAATGTTTGTTACGTTTTTTCCTGATGCCATAAAGCCACGTTGTGTTTACTGTCTCTCTTCGTAAGGCTTTATGTGACTTCTTTTTACACAAAATTCGATTGACATGCTCTCTAAGCACCTACAACATGATGGACATTATTACCCCTGATAACCCAAGCTGAACGTCAAGCGCTAGAACGTTAGTAGCCATATGACTTGTCCCTCCGTGTAGTCATTTTCTGATGGCTGAACAGAGGCAATTGTGAACAAATCCACTTGCCTGAAGTGGTCTGTTACTGAATCAGTTAGTGGGCGTGCGTTGCCATTTCTTGACGCTTGTTCTATTGTTTTATCGAGACTCTACAACAAAATGCTGCCTTCTTTCTCAATGTTAGATGTCCCGTACCTTGTGATTACATCAGAATCATACAATGGAGATATGAAATGATTTCGTCGATTTCATTGATTCTACCATTGTATCTGAACAGAAACGCCATTCCACGACAATACCAGGACTTCTTGAACCAAAATAGCATTATATTCATATTGGAAACAAATTTCAAAGTACTCGTAATTTGTTTCAGTAATAGCATTATACAGTCTGTCTAGATCACATGTACATTTGTCACTAATTTTGTGGATATTAATACATTCTGGCCTGACTAATGGCTTAAAGCCTGTTTGTTAAATAGTTGTTAGTAAGAATGATACACTTGAATGAGAATGACAAATGTGCTGTTGGATATTCTGTTGTATCTGTAATTCGCTTGGGAATTGGGCCCCGTCACTACTTTTACTGAAACGATGTGGATGTTAAGTAGTGTATTATTGTGGAGTTGAAGAAGAAGTTTGAAACAAACATTTAAAATGTATGCCCTCTATACTTATATAGAGGAAAATGTTGGGTGTACCTGGTACCTTCAGACCGGAGTTGTTATGTGCAAAGATGTTTACTGATTCGGAAACAAAAATCTACGACGCGAGAACGGAAGCGCCATTACATCAATAGGTTACATAATGGTCGTGATGAATAATTCTGTTAAAATCGTTGGATTGTTTGCAGTCAATGGGTTCCTTCTGGAAATAACACTACATATTTCACTGTTGCTAAACAACTGTAAATTAAGCATGATGTAATCACTTTTTGTTTTTGTTTTTTTTTTGTTTTTTTATTCCATTTCAAGTCTAACATAAAATACATATGGCAAAGAGGAAACAACTAAATATATATGTACATAGCTTCAGTGATGTTTTGCAAGGTTCTATATGACATATAATGCAGTATTGCAAACATATACACACACGCGCACACATACATATATACATATATGTATACATATGCACATACATACACGCATGTATAGTTGCTATATATAAATATAACATCATGAGATTACAACAATTATATAGATACATAAGATGTCATTAAAGTTTCTGTGGAGGGAATATGAAATTGGAGGTAAGGTTGGAATAGTATGATGTAAATCACTTAGTCCTCTTGGCGATAAGTACAGTGGCTATGTACATTCTGAGGCAGAGTTGACACTGTCAGTCGTTGCTGTGGCTTTTCTCCCGTCTTTGTCACATGATAATCACTATGGTCAAAGAGACGTTCTATGTGCTGACTCTTGTGCTTAAATGTATGCCTCTATACCTCCCACCAGGGCGCATGTTTCATTCATGGACTCGTTAGAGGAGAATGTTGACTATAACCTGGTACCTTCGGATAGGGCATTGTTATGCGCAAATGTACTTATTGATTCGGAACAAAACAGACGACGCGAGAACGGACGCGTCATGACATCGGTAGGGGAACGTATTGGTATTGATGTGATGAAGAATCGATGAATTCAAATGATATAATTTCATGTAATTTGTACTCCAGTGGAATCTCAGTGGAAGTAACACACCACCTTTGTTGATGCTCAAAAAGCCGTGTCTTGTACGTGTGATTGAATCTGGACGATAGGTGCATTGTTCTACGCATATTCTGAGGCAGATTTGACTCTGATGTCAGTCTTTGCTGTGGCTTTCTCCGGTCTTGTATCACATGAGGATGACTATGTACAAAGAGACGTTCTATGTGCTGACTCTTGTGTTTGTGTCAACCGATATCTGTCTTTCCATCATGTGACAGATTTTATTTTCAACGCCATGGCAGTTTGGACGGTCTGTTATTTAATGAAGCCTTTGACTCTGAGAGCGTCGTAGAAGAACGGATATTGTGCGGAGAACGTTGCTACCGTCACTCCCTTTGTAACATGCTGCTGTACAACCCAACGTCCAAACGATGCCGCCTGTACAAGTCGTTCGTCAACACAGGAGGAACAGAGGACACGGGCTGGCAGTACTATGCAGGTAAACTTAAACTTTCAGAAGTGCATCTGTTTGAAAGTAAATTCATTTGAAAATATGTATAATGTATATATGTAATGTATGGAACAATTCAAACATTAATAAGTAAGCCATTTTGACTTCATAACACTTTTGACAACGGACGTTAAGCCAACCAATATATCATTTATATGTATCTAAAACTAAATAGCTTGAAACCATATAAATAAGTAACTGTCCATGAAACGCTGTTATATTCATACGGGCTAGGGTATGGTTACAAGGATTTTAGATGAAGGCTCCTCGCCTTTTAACAAATCGATAGTTGAATCCCAGGTAACGTGTTGATGCCAACGCGGATTCCCACTTCACTGGCATTAAATCTCTGATATCTAGTCCAATCACATGGTTGTAAACAACTATAACAACTATCAGAAGTGGGGTCACAGATTTTGTTGAGTGACTTAGTTTTCACTTAGAGTCTTGAAAACACAAATTATTTATGTTTTGATTGATTATTAATGCATTCTAGAGCTGTAAATATGCCCTTCGCTTCGGGTTGATAAATGGGAGCAGTTATCTGGTAATCTTGATCTGATCCAATGACCTGCATAGATCGATGTTCATGGTGTTAATCACTGGATTGTCTGGTCCAGACACGATTATTTACAGACAGCCGCCATACAGCTTGAATATAGCTGACTGCGACAGTAATAATTGATGGGTCATCTCGAGGACACGGTGGATCCGTGGTGGACCTGAGATAATGTATGCACGAGTATGCATGAATATGTTAATGTAGGCAGGATAGTTGACGAAAGAAAGAATACGTAGACAACTCTAAGCTTGATCCATCAAAGTCCAACACAAGAGGTGTTGCAATACTTTTCAATAATAATATTGATCTCACTATACATAAAACTCTGGAAGATGAAGGTGGAAATTTTATTATTGCAGACATAACTGTAGAAGATAAAATATTTTACCCTCACAAACCTTTATGGAGCAAATATTGATGACCCACTATTTTATGTAAAGCTTTTCGAAAGTTTATCCAATTTTGAGAATGAATCTCTGGTTATGGTAGGAGATTGGAATCTGGTTCTTGATCCTTCCATTGATTTAGAAAATTACAAAAAAAAGTAGTTTTAGACACAATTGCAGCTTATGATCTTGTGGATATTTGGCGTGATTCGAATGATTATCTGAAAAAAATTACATGGTGGAAAAACCATCCAAGACAACAAGCCAGACTGGACTTTTTTTTAATCTCACAAGATTTGCTGAACCTTACGCTTGATTCCGATATTCTACCAGGCTATAAAACGGACCACTCAGCTATTACCTACTCTTTTCAAATACTATTAACCAAGAAAGAGGGCAGGATATTGGAAATTTAATACGTCTTTATTGTTACAACCTGAGTATAGTGAACTTGTTAGATCCATATTAAAGGACACAGTTGAAGAATATTCAGATATTGATGTATATGATGAAAATGCTAATGACCTTAATATAAAACTTAAGATTGATGATAGTATATTTTTAGAAACCTTCCTTATGAATGTTAGGGGAAAATCAATTTCAGTTTCAACCTTTCTAAAAAGGAAAACCATTGATAAAACCACAGAATTAGAAACTAAAATTAAAGACTATGAAGAATCAACAAGAAAGGACTTTCAAACTATAGATGAAAATTTATTATCTGAACTTGCAAAATATAAATTTGAACTACAACAAATTAAAGAAGATGAAATAAGGGGTATACAGCTCAGAAACAGAATTTTATGGTATGAAGAGGGGGAAAAGCCAACCAAGTATTTTTGCAACCTAGAAAATAGAAATTATGTCAGCAAATCAATTAATAAGATTGTCACGGATAACAATGACGAAATTACTGACACTTTTCTATCTTAAATGAAGTAAAAACATTTTACAAACAACTTTACTCTTCTGGCAGGAAATATGAGGATGAAACTTGTTAACAAGATGTGGTAACTCCCACTTTAACTGGCCATCTTAGAAACAAATTAGAAAAAGATATTGACATGGAAGAAATAACATTGGCTGTTAAACATATGAAAAATAACAAAAGCCCTGGTGTAGATGGATTTCCAATAGATTTCTTTAAATATTTTTGGAAAGACCTTAAATATTGGATCTATAGATTTATTAAAGAAATTTTTAATAAGAATCAAATGTCTTTCACAATGAAAAGAGGTGTTATTACATGTATACCCAAGCCAGATAAAAACAGAACCCTTTTAAAAAACTGGAGACTAATAACTTTATTGAATTCACTGTATAAAATAGTAAGTACTTGTATTTCTAATCGGTTAAAAAGAACCCTGTACTCTCTTATACATGAAAATCAGACTGGTTTTATACCTGGTAGAAATATAAGCGAAAACACAAGATTACTCTATGACATTATGTTTGAGACAAAAAGAAGAGACATCCCAGGTTTATTAATTTTGATCGATTTTGGAAAGGCTTTTGATACTGTCTCTAAAGATTTTATAAATTTGGTATTAAAAAGTTTGGGTTTGGTCCCCAAATTATTAGGTGGATAGTGGATAAATATCCTAACCTATAATACAACTTCTTGTGTTATTCAAAATGGACGTCTCTCAGAATTCTTTTCAAATGAACGGGGCTGTAGACAAGGGGATCCGTTATCACGATATCTTTTCCTTTTTGTAGCTGAAATCCTTGGATGCATGATAAGACAAAATGAAAATATCAAAGGTATAGTAATTGATGATACAGAGTATAAATTAGGACAATATGCAGATGATACTGAGTTGTTTTTAGATGGTACAGAAAAATGTCTATATTCTGCTGTTGATGCAATTAATACTTTCTATAGGATGTCAGCACTAAAAATAAATATTGATAAGACTAAAGCTATCTGGATTGGATCTAAAGCAGGTTGTGGTGATAAGCTATGTCAGGATTTGAATATTGAATGGCGAAAAAATGAATTTGTTGTTCTGGGAATTATACTTAATGCTGAACTGAAGGATCTATGGATCATCAATACAAAGAAAAAACTAGAGGAAATTAACAGATTATTGGCAGTGTGGAGAAAAAGACATTTAACATTAATCGGCAAAATCACTGTTATCAAGACACTAGCTATGTCAAAATTAGTTCATATTTTTAGTACTTTACCAAACCCACCCCAAGATTTTGTTACCTCCCTAGATAAAATATTTTTCAAATTCATCTGGACTGACAAAACTGACAAAATTAAGAGAAGTACCTTGAAAAAGATTATATACATGGGGGTTTAAGAATGATCGACATAAAACCTTTATCAATGCCTTGAAACTATCCACTTTGAGACTTTATTTAAGAAAATCATCAATATGTAATCCATGCAATTTTCCATTACATGATATCATGAAATTTGGTGCTAACTTCTATAATATTGCTGATATTCATAATCCATATTGGAAAGATGTTTTAAAAGCATGGAACATGTATTGTACTAACATTACCATAGAGGAAAACAACATTGATGAAATTTTAGCACAGCCATTATGTTTTAATCATAATTTTAAATACCAAAATCATTATATCAGTCATTGGGCAAATAAAGGACTATTAACCATCAAAGACATGTGTGATGAAGAAGGTTTGATGTCTTTGAATCTTTAAAAGTAAATATGCAATAAAAGGGACAGAATTAGATCATAGATATGTTCTAAATAATATACCTGAATCATGGAAAAATACAATAACAAATCACAGGTGTATAAATAACTATGACATGAATCTTAACTCCTATCAAAAGAATTTTATGAAATCATTACAAGGATCAAGATTATTTTATGATATATTGTTATTTAACAATAATAACCCTCATATGTGTCATAAATGGGAGAATGTGTTTGAAGATACTGACTTTGATTGGCCAATGATTTTCAAGTCTTACAGACAAGACATTAATGATGTAAAACTCTTAGAGTTCCAATATAAATTTTTACACGGTATTATCTATACCAAAAAGGAACTTTTAAAAATGAACCTTATCCAGAGCGCCTCATGCAGCTTTTGTAAAGATGAAGATGAAAATTTGTGCCATGTTTACTGGGAATGTAGTGAAACTAAGAAGTTTTGGAAGGATCTTCAAATTTGGATTAACACTTATTTGATACAAAAAGTCAATTTGACAAAATATTTGGTGTATTTTGGCTCCTTAAGTAAAAACTCATTACTTAATCATATAATCATTTCAGCAAAAAGACAGATCTATGTCTCTTCTTTGAAAAACAATATTCCAAAATGCAATAACTTTAAAAGGACTTTAAAAGATATTTTTTCTGTTGAAAGCTTCATTGCCAAAAGGAAGAATAAAATGAAGAAATTTGCTAATAAATGGCATCCATTATTCCCAGTATTTCAAACCTGACCTGTGTATGCAGCAACCGCTTCTTTTGTAAAATCTTGATCTGTTTCCCCTTTTGAAAAATTATCATTGTTTTAGTTATATATTGACTAGTTAGTTAATGGCACTGGTGTAACTTTGGGGAACACATATTATAGGTTGGATATAAGACACAATATACAACACAATAAGCCGGATGTTGCGCAATATATAACACAACACATTGGATGTGACACAAGACACAGCATGACATGTCAGAATAATTGTGGCACTATATACACCACATGTTAGATAAGACATATTTACAATGTATATCAGATAATACATTATGTACAACACGATATATGTACAACACGATAGATTGGCCGTGACACTACAATATGCTATGTCGGGTGTTGCGCTATATACAGTATGATATGTCAGATGTGGCGCTATATACAACGTGGTATGTCAGATATGGCGCCGTATACAACAAAATATGTTGAATGTGACACAATATACAGCTTGATATGTCAGATGTGGTGCTATAAACAATATGATATGTTCATATATGATGCTATTTACAATTTGACATATGGGATGTACACTCTCTCAAAAAAGAAACGCAACCCCTATCTAAATATCTGACATC